ACTTCACAGCGAAGGATATTGGGCTCGAGACAACACAAGCTCAACTTCAAAGCGAAGGGGCGACTGACTGTCAACAACCAACTTTTCAGTTTCATTCAGAGTCAATTTCAACTTCACAGCGAAGGATATTGGACTCGAGACAACACAAGCTCAACTTCACAACGAAGGGGCGATTGACTGTCAACAAACAAATTTTCAGTTTCATTCAGAGTCAATTTCAACTTCACAGCGAAGGATATTGAACTCGAAGCGAAACAATTTGCTCGAGAGTAGATTTCAACTTCACGACGAAGGATATCTAACTCGAAGCCAAACTTCACAATAAAAGGGTAGGGTCATTCATGGTTTCAACTTCACGGCGAAGGGAATCGTGTCCACCCGCAACATACAATACTTGGATTTCAACTTTACGACAAAGGATATTCAAGTCAAGGCTCAACTTCACAACGAAGGGGCCATCCACGATTTCAACTCCACGACAGAGGATATCGTGCCATTTGAGGCTCAACTTCACGACGAAGGGGCTTCCCAGTTTCAGAGCCAATTTCAACTTCACGGCAGAGGATATTGGACTCGGAACAATACAAATTACTTGGATTTCAACTTCACGACGAAGGATATCCAATTCTAGGCTCAACTTCACGACGAAGGGGCCACCCACAGTTTCAACTTCACGATGAAGGGAATCGTGCACACAAGCAGTATCCATCTCTAGATTGGATTTCAACTTCACGAAAAAGGATATCAAACTCAAAGAATGAGTGTCTATCAATAAACTTTCCAGTTTCAAAGGCAATTTCAACTTCACGACGAAGGATATCCAATTCCAAGGCTCAACTTCACGACGAATGAGCCATATATGATTCCAACTTCACAACAAAGGGTGTCGTACCCCAACAAATTGACCCAACTTCACGACGAATGAGTCATCTGTAACACAGCAACACCAAAGTCTTCAGGTCAAGTTTCACCTTCACGATGAAGTATCTTGGGCCAGAAGACGATTTAGAGGCCACTTGCCGAAAACTTTTAGTTCAATTTCAACTTCACGACGAAGGATATCGGGCTCAGAAGTTTCCAGTTCAACTTAACATCACGACGAGGGAGTCATTTTGTGATTCAATTCAAATTAACAGATCAGTCATTACATCGGATTTCAACTCTACAACGGAGGGCATTCGATATGGACGAAATTTGTGTCTTTTAATCTTTGCTCTATTTTCGTTACACGATAATGAGCAAAGAGGGGCTGCTGTAGACACTATATTTCATCCCATTATAAATAACTATATATATACATGTTATATATAATTTATATGTTACTTATATATATATTGTATATGACATTTACACATCCTTTTTTATCTTCTTTTTACAGGCACATATACAAATATTACAAGTGACCCGGCAGATGGGACAAGGCCCAACAACCAGAACCCAAACAGCGATGACCCAAGACCCGTTCCAAAGTCAAGGTTTCCAAAAAAACCCTAGTGCGCTGCTTCTCTTGCACGCCCCATCTCATCCAGCGCCAAACAAGTCCTAACGTCGCACTTCTCGCCTCCAACAACCGAGATTCTCGACCACGAACAACAAACCCGTTAGCAAGCAATGTTTTAATAGGAATAAAACGCTAAAAATAAGAGTAGTCGAGTCCAAATCGGACTCTAAAAATAGCCAAATCTAAGGCTATAAAATGTTGTAATTCTCAATATTTGGAACGGAAAATTTTCATACGAAAATACACACAAAGATTACAAAGCAAACACAAAGTTTTCGAAGCATATTTTGCAATATTTTCTCGAAGTGAAATAAAGGTAAGGTTCATACCTTTTTAAATTTTTGGCTTGCATGTTTCGTTGTTGCCTTTGTTTTTTTAATAAAAAAAAACCCAAACGTCGATGACCAAAGGAAGAATGTTTTGAAATTTCTAACCTAGATCTACTCTCCTTGAGGCGTTTTTTCAAAAAAGTGTTTTGATATTTGAAGAGAATGTGCGAAGAGGTTTTTAAAAATGCAAAAAAATAGGTTTGTCGTCGATGACCAGCGGCCGGCTCCGATCAACAGCGACGACGCAGAGTGGTCGTTTTCTGGGTTTATTGATACCCACGACCATTGTTCTTCATTTCTCAAGAACAAATGAGAGAAATCAGAAACGAGGGGGAGAACTTTGTGTTTTGAGAAGGAGAGAAATGAAAAATTAAAGGAGAAAGTTGCTTAAATACTCGAACCATGGATCGACCCGTAACCCTGCCCAAATGGATTCAGATCCGCATGTTTTTGAAGCAAATACAGTAAACTACGCTTCTGGTCCCTGTCTGTTTTTAGAAACTCATTTCAACCCTAAATCGAATTCCCATTTTGGTTTTTTTATTCGAAATTTGTCCTCCACGTTTGATTCCTTTCATTTTAATCCCTTCATTATTATTTTTTATTTTTTTATACATATTTGCTCATTTATTTTTAATTTATTACTTATTATTTTTTTAATTTTTTTCTCTATACTTTATTACCAATGTATATATATATATATATTATTTTCATTTTTTTATTGTTACTATTATTTTTATTATTGCTATTATTATTACTATTGCTATTATTATTACTACTATTATATTTTTCCTTTTTTTCTACTTATTTATATTATATATTTATATTTTATTATATTTTATTATTATTATTACTATTATTATTATTATTATTGGTTTTGTCTATGCCTAATATTTTATATGTAAATATTTCTTATTATTTTCTTTTACTTACTTTATCAAATATTATACCTATATATCACCTACCTTTGAAATTATCACCCCACTCCTATTGAGTCCCCTTTTATTATTTAAAATTTGACTTGTGGATGAACAATTATAACATTGCAAACGGTGTAATCAAGTCATGATTTCCATGCCCCCACCATTTCCTATTTAAAGCATGTGATGAGTATTCAAGTTCATTTTTTTTCTAAACCAAATTATTAGCTGACTCTTATTCCCATATGTAATGGTGTAAGGGGGAGGTAGGATAGTAGGTTGCCCTCAACGCCAGGTTGAGAGCAGCTTCCGTAGGAGACCTCCGAATTATGAAAAGCCTTCCATGAGACTCGATCCCACGACCCCAAGGTTAATAACCTTTGTGCTCTACCAACTAAGATGGATGATCATTTCTTTCTAAACCAAATTGTTGTTTACAAATCCACGTTTTACTGTAATCAATTTTTTATTTTTTTTGTCTTTTCGCTTTTTTCGCATGTATGTATATATTGTTTAATTTTCTTTTTTTCTTTTTTTTGTTGTGTTTTGTTTATGTATCTTTTTATTTAATTTTATTATTACTTCCATTATTTTTATTTAGTTTTGTTTTTGTCTTATTTTTATCTTTATTTTATTTATTTTATTATTCTTCCTTTCTTTCTTCATATTTACGCATTTTCTATCTTAATTCGATTATGCACCTTATACAAATCTAACATTTCTATCTTTTTAAGGGTCTTCATTTAAATCGATCAGAGGTAAGTAATTAGGATCAAAACTTTACCTTTTAATTTAACTAGCAATATTCTTAATCAAAGACGACTGGAGATTACGTAGTACCGAAAGGGCAGTTCAAGGGTGCTAACCCTTCCTTGACTGTAACCGACTCTCGAATCCGACATATATTTGGTAAGACGCAGATCATGAAAGAAATAAGGTATCCGATCAACCCATTTGTTTTAAAATAAATGATCGGTGACAACTCCAATCCATTTAATTCAAGTCGAAGCCCAATTCCGGGCTCAACCGAAAGACAGTTCCGACAGAAACACTGCTAAGCGTTTGACATTTGATATAGGGGTAGATGAACCCAGAAAAACCTAATCTTAACAAGATCATGTTAAATAATGCTAGTTTATAAGACACCTTTAACAAGATTATGATACGAAAAAGTACATGAACACAATGCGAATGGACGAATTCCAGAGTCTACTATCAAAAAGGTCCATTGGAACACTGCTAAGCATTTGACATTTGAGTATAGGGATAGATGAACCCAGAAAGCCTAATTTTAATAAGATCATGTTAAATAATGCTAGTATATAAGATCATGCAGAATGACAAAGGATGCAATACAAACAAAAAACTCCAGAACAGTTTCATCTGAAACTATATTAACATGGATCTTGCCTATGGTTGTATTCATATGGACTAAATTGAAAAACATAAATCAAAACATCGTCTTCTGATGCCAAAGCCAAAACACAGACAATTCGACCTGCACGTCAAAAGATTCATACAAAAACTCAGAATAGCTCAGATTAATTTATTCCCACAATCAAAGTTTCCAATCTTGACTAATGGGTTTCATATGTTTGAAGCAAGAAGAAAACTATACTACCACCAAGCTGAAACTTAAACAAAGTTATGAAAATCCGAAGTCAAATCTTTCATAATTTCACAGAAGATAATATTGGACATGACATGAATATAGGACCATGACAAAATATATATTGAAACACCTCGAATATTATTATAATACGAGAAAATCCACAAACAAAACAAGAACACACGAATTGCTTAGTCTTTCATCGAAGAAATCTATCAGCAACCAATCCATTGGAAAACTGCTACACATATATGACTATAGGGATATATGAACCAAAGAAATGTAATCTTAACAATATAATATCAAAGCATGCAAAACAAAACAAACTCCAGAAATATTTCATCTGAAACTACATTAACAGGAATCCAGCATATGGTTGTAGATATAATTATATCACTGAAGATTTATATAGACAATTGAAAAACAAAAATCAAAACATAGTCTTGTATGAGACTACTGATGACATCGAATGATTCAAACTGGAACTCAGGGTAGCTTTGAAAAATGTATTCCCATGGTATTTATATTTTTCAGGCAAGAAGAAAATCATCATATCAAGCAGAATGTTAAATAATGTTGTGAAATTCGAAATTCGAATCTTTCATATTTTCACCTAAGATAAATCAACAGACAAATTGCAATGACAATGAATAAAAAACTTTCATTTCTATCACTCATAAATATAGACTAATACAAAAGCTATTTGCCAAATTAATGGTAACATAAGAAGCAGCAAATACTTATAATAAGAAAACCCAGAGTACATGTTGAACCAAGCTCCCCAAAGTTATGGTAAAATCCAACCTCAAAAAAAAAAAAAAAAACTGATAAGTAGCAGATAGAAATACCCAATTCACTCTTCAATTAGCTGCTCACTTTGAATCTCCATCCTCAAATACTCCCCAATATCAGCCTGGTGAAGCACAACAATGGCATTAGGATCCAATTTCCTACAATCTTGAGTACTCTTAGCAGCAATCCCAAACCCCAAAGGCAAATCCGACATGGAAAAAACGACCCCATCACCAGGCGCAATGCTCTCCGTTATCCTCCCTAACCCACCTTTCAAAACATGATTCGCGTAAAGAAACGACATCCCCGAGGTGGGTTTTAGCCAAACTTTGTGCTTCGCGTTCGCAGTCAACAGGTTCAAACATTCGACGGTCAAATGGAAATTGCCTCCGTGTGTGAACCTGCCTATACAGGTTCCTATGGATGCCAGCTTGGGTCCGGTGAGAATGAGGATTTTCGGTGTGGAGAGAAAATGAAGCACCGTGTGAAGGGAAAATGACTTGCCTTTTTTAAACGGCAAGTTATTTTACTGTGGAAAGGGGTGCATAAAACCAAATTCATTGACTTTTAGATTTTACGGAACCAAACAGAGAAAAACAGAGAAAATTATATATTAGTCTATCCTTATTCCCATATGTAATGAGATAAAGCGAAATAAGATAGTAGGTTGCTTCAACGTCAGGTTGAGAGCAGTTTTCGTGAGAGAGACTCTCAAATTATAAAATATCCTCCGTGTGAAATGATCTCACAACCTCAAGATTAAAATTATTGTGCTCTACCAAACGAGTTGGATGATTATTTAAAAAAAACAGAGAAAATATTTTTGGTAAAATATTTTTCCCCAACCCAACGGACCCTAAAGAAAGAAAACAAATTAGTCAAGGACTTGACCTAAGTAAACGAATACGATTAGGCGATATTAACACCATTGAAGGAAAATTTGTTCCTATGTTCTTATGGGAAATTTATATATATATATATATATATATATATTTGAAACTTAAATTAATTCAAGATTTAAAAAAATAAGTTTAAGATTTTTATATTTTTTTAAATTAAATTTAATATTTCTTTTTTTATAATTATAATTTAATGATTTTAAATTTTACATTTGAGTTGAATTTTTTTTCAAGCGTACTTTTTATCCAATAGTTAAAAATTTATAAATATAAAATAAACACTTCATATGATAACAAATAAATAATAAAAATATAATTTTGACAATAAAAAATAAATTTTAAATATAAAACTTAAATTTTTAACTTTCACTTTTAAGTTAAAGAAACGAGTATAAAATATAATTTTTTTCTTTAAATATTATCGTTTAACATTATTTATAATTTTAAAAATATTTTTTAATAAATAATGACAAATAAGTTAATTTAAAATGACTAAAATTAAAAGATAATTATTTATACATTTTATTTGGAATCTCGTGTTGCGACGCCTTTGCTGAACTTACAACCCTAATGTGTTTTGGGTTTAGTTTTGGGTCGGGTTTAATGGCCTGCTGGGTCAGGCAGGTCTGGATCTGGACCCTAATTGGGCTCCTAATTAGGATGTTTAGACTTATTGAACCTAAAAGAATAACAATAAAAACAACGAAATTAATAAACAAATAATAAAAAAGAAATAAATAACACGTAAATAAAAATTATAAAAACTAATATTATATATTTTCAAAAAAAATATTTTCAAAATCTTATATTATATATATGTTTTCAAAATGTTTTCTAAAATATATATTATATATATTTTCCAAAACGTTTTCAAAATTATATATTATATATATTTTCAAAATGTTTTCAAAACTATACATCATATATGTTTTTAAAAATATTTTCAAAACTATATATTACATAATTTTTCAAAAATGCTTTCAAAACTATATATTATATATATTTTCAAAAATGTTTTCAAAACTATATATTATATATATTCTAAAAATGTTTTCAAAACTATATATATATATATTTTGAAAATGTTTTCAAAATATATATATATATATATATATATATATATATATTAAATAGAACCCCAGCCAAAAATGAGTGACTACAACTGGCTCTCTTTTCCCATTATCATGCAACGAAAATAGGGAAAAAATAAAAAGGCACAAATTTTCTTCGATGCATATGAGCTTGGAAATAAGTCTGCTTCTGTGAGAGTTGTTGACTTTTGAGCTTGAAATCCAACTTAAGGTTGCCGTTGAATTTTATCAACTACCTCCGCTGTGGAGTTGAGATTCGAAGAAGAGGATGACTCCTTATTGTTGAGTCATACTATGGGTGGCTCCGGAGTTATCTTTGAACATGATATCCTTCATTTTAAAATTGAAATCGTAGTTCAAAATTTGAATCATAAAGTGGCTTCTTATTGCCAAATCGTAGTCAACCTTGGTCTTCTTCTCGGTTTAAAGACCTTGGTATGAAAACTTGACTGGAAAGTAGTTCCTTGTTGCTACTATGCGATTGATATGCCTTCGAGCTGAATGGAATCGAACTCGAAAGTCTCCATTGACAGATATTCATTCTCGCCTTGAGTTATATTGTAGATTAGGCTATGAGGTAGTTCATTAATGCTAATCGCAGCAACATAGGTCTTCTTCTTGAGTTAAAGACCTCGGTTTAAACTTCAATCGGAAAGTAGTTCATCTCTGCTACCATGCGATTGATACACCCTCGAGCTGAATGGAATCGAACTCGAGAGTTTTTGTTTACAGATAACCCTTCTTGTCTTGAGCTATGCTGTAAATGGTTTCTCTAAATGAAGGATGACTCCCCTTCGTGGGTCTAAGCTAGTAATAATTCTTTAGATGACTCCCCTTCACGAGAAAGTCAGGTGAGACGTTCTTCGAGTGACTTCTCTTTGTGAGAAAATCAAGTGAGGTAGTCTGTCAGCCGGATATTCTTCGTGGAGTTGAAATCTAACTTGAAAACTTTAATTAGCCATTCACCGTTGAATTAAGCCGAACTCGTTCTGAATTGGCTCTCGAACTCGACTGAATTGGCTCTCGAGCCTGATTTGAAGTTGATTCTAAGATCTATTGATCTTTCTATAGGTCAAGTTGGTTAAGATTTAGCTCCTCGCCATTAAGTTAAGCAACCATCATCGATTTTTTAAGGCATTTTTGAATCGAGTGTCATTCATCGTGAGGTTAAAACTTGACTCTAAAGCTGCAAAAATTATGTATGTGAAAAATGATAAATGTAATGCTCTTAAGTATGTCTAAGATGTATGCACAATGAATTAGTTCTTATTTTATTTCTCGGACAGAATCTCATTCTTTTCCTATTGGTCTTGTCCTTCGAATCGATCATGCCCCAGTACTGACGGCTTAATGGAAAATATCTAACACTTGCTCATTTTTTAACTCAATCCAGTGATATTGCCCTCTTGAATGTATGGATCAATTTCAATCTAGAGATTATTAAGCGTTCTTTTATCCTTTGTTTACTCGAGGGAGTAAGACTCTTTTGCATTTCGATTGATGATTAATTACTGGAATTGGTTGAATCATCATTGTAGTTGACAAATCAATATTCAACGAAAGTCTTCCTTACGTGGCTTGGAAGCTCAAATGGAAACTTCTACAGCCAAGGCTACATTTTCCAGTGTCTATGAAATTATTCTGATTGCCATGGAAAAAGACTGACAAACAAGAAGGCATACTACCTTGAAATTATATAAAGCACCCTCCGTGCTTCTTGCAGAGTGCTTTGGCAACAAATCTTGTCTTAAACGTCGTTGGGTTATAAGCGTCTTGTTTTCTTTATTTCACACTCATTTGGGTTGTCATTATTATCAGGGTTATCATTATCATCAGGGTTTGCATTCCTGTTGTTTCTCTTTGGTACGACATCCTTAAGTACAACAGTAAACTCATGCTTTAGGAGGGACCCAATAGTGAATGAATTTATCGTCATCACGGGCTAAACTCTTTCTGGCCAACTCATTACTGTAGATCTCTTTGCACCTTACTGGACGACCATCTTCATAGTAAAGAAAACATTATGCTGGATAAAGCAACCATCTGTATTGCTCATACTCACTTTGAAATGATTGGTTAGAATGGTTATTTTTGTTCCTTCGATCTAGTATAACGTCTGGCCATGGATTGTAACACTACATTTCACAACATCAAGCTCTGTTTTGGTAAGAACCATGTCAGGAGGCACGGATGGTAGAAAGAGAAGAGATTGAAAACCTGGAGATGCCCCACATCGTCTCAAGTCCTTCAACCGATTTTTGAGAAACTATGTATTGTCTGAGATATATCTCTTTTTTTTTAAAAAGGTTGGTATAAAAATGATGCCAGAACAATTGAAGAAAAGTATCAGTTCACTGAATATCAAATAAATGAATCACATAAGTTGTTTTCCAAAGGTTATAACCCTTTGACAAGTATCAAGATCCATGGGTGATATGGGAAGGCAATGCGATTTGGTTTTGAATTTCATGATTTTCAAATAGGATGTAAACAAAATAGCGTAATTGATACATTCCACTGTAAGTCCCTTTAGAGAGCATTTCTATTTCAATTCTCATAAATCTTCCATTTGTTCATGTTTCGTAGATTCCTTAAGCAGGGATAGCGCTAAAATTTCGATCTAAAAACAAAACCCCTGAGTGCTTTTGTGTAGTAAACTATAACAAATGTTTCCTGACTCCCTTAGTCCATCTTTCATCGAAATTTAATTTCAAATCCACATTTATTTCAGGCCTTATTGCATTTCTTTAAATTATACTTTGTTAAACTAGAGGACCTCGCTTTAGATTTGCTAGGAAATTTATCTCGACACATAGAGACTAGTGTCATGATCTGAATGTACTCGTATTCAAAAAGTTATGGAACTTAACATTGCCCATTACTTTAGCAGAATACATTTAATTAAAGGATTCAAGTGTCAGAAAGTCTTTGACTTGACAAACTTAATGAAACTCACTTCCCAAAGCTCAGACATTAACACTATAGCTTCTTCAAACATTACCTCCGAAGATTAACAGCCTACTACTTTCAAAGAAGTGCCCCTAGTATTGTTAAAATTATCGTTCATTAATATCACATTAATTCGTCGATTTTGAGATTTCCTAAGTTTGTCAGGAAGAATCTGTTATAGTCTGAGTGTTAGTTAAAATCAGAAAACTTCATCTTTAGAGCTCAATTTCTAACAACTGATCTAATACAAATTTATTTATTTCACTATTCTATTTGTGAAAATTGTATATCGTCACGGGACATCCTAATCTTGTTCTTGCAATGTTATGCATCGGAGATGCCCCATCTTGTCTACTTGCATACTTATACGAGTGAGATAACATTTTTCTTTTTTGGGTAAAAGATATGGATCTTGTGTTGTCGAAACGATTTTTAACCGCGGGGGGAGCGATTTTGAAAAACCGCGTCATTTTTAATTATTCTCTTTTCAATTGAATTTTAATTAAAAACGATGCAATTTTAGAAAACCTCTCGTTTCGAAAAATTGGAAATTCCGTTACGGTAAAATAATAAGGTTCGAGGAGTCGCCACCAATCTTTGATTAGGGTGTGATTGGGCACCCAAAAACATTTTGTCATTTTAAATAAAAATTAATTTTAATTAAAACGACAAGTAGAGGTCTGCGTTATCAAAATCTGAGTTCGGGAGTCGGTTACGTGTGGGGAAGGATTAGCACCCCCACAACGCCCTAAATTGGTACCTAGTCGATTAATTATTGTCTTTGCAACGAATTTCACAAGTTTGAGTTTAATTTGATTAATGATCCCTTTAGACAACAAAAATGCAAACTTGAAACATTGAAAAGGAACAAAACAGATTTAATTAAAATTACCAAGTCATTAGAAAGATAAAGAATATTCGATTATTTAAAAATATCGAGACCAGATCTTTAGTTCAGTTCTAACGACCTTTTCTCGAAGAGTTTAAATAGTCGAATATTTCCTTTTCTTTCGCTCCCAAATTTTACAATGATATATCCAAATTTAATTAGGCGTTACTGACGGGATACCATTTTATTTAAAATCGTCAAAACAACTTTCCTGTAAGTTAAGGAAGCCATTCTGATAATTTTAGATTAAAAGGGCATTACCCTTAGTTCCGATTATGCAATAATGTCAAATTATGCATATGAGGATCATGCAAATCATACAAAAGTGATGTTAATGCAAAGATTAATTGATCATGCGATTAAAGTAAACGAGGCTAACATGCTTTAAAAAGAAATACACCTAAGTGCGTATGGACAAACATGCTCGAAATAATATACACATGCAACATATTAAAATAAATCTAATTAGCCTAACAAACATGATAAAATATTAGAAGGACTAAATAAAAAATAAATAACAAGTTTTTCATAACATTTCATTTTAGGTACTGCAAACATAATACAACCAAAATACTGCAAATGACCAAATGAAAGTTTCTCAAATTACACATCCAATGCCTAAACATCATTAAAATGGCCCTAACATGGTTCTGGACTTAGATGTAAACGCTGAAAATTAAGATACAAAATCAAAAGATAACAAAGTTCGGTATAGGGGCCAAAATGAAACAGATCAAACCTAATGGACCTTACGCGCGGTTTACCCCAAACATCCCAAACACGGATTCCCCTCAGCTATCAAGACGCTGCCGTTTTGGATCTATTTAACGACGCCGTTCTGGTCATTGAATACATATGATGATACTTAGGATAATTTTTTACCTAAATCATTATCCTCTCATCCCTGCCAGACACTCGCCGCTTTTCTCTGGTTTTCTCTCCCCTCTCATTCTTAACCCTCGACGAAACCCAGAGCCTCCATGGGCTCCGCCGTTCTACGCTCCGATGAGGAGCTCGTAAGCCCCAACGACAACCCCAGCCGAACTTTTCCTAAAATAAACACGACCCTAAACCGTGACTCAAACCCAAACCCTCGAATCCCACTCTGTTTCACTCCAGTCAAAGACCAACGCCGTGGCCAACCTTGCACCACTGGTTCCGATGAGAAACCTAGACCCCTCGGTTCCCTCACTCTCCCTTTACCCCAGAAACCTAGCCTCATAGAACTCGAACTCAAGCTTCCTAGACCTGAAAACCCCTCAAGTCCCTAAACCGAAGGCCCAAACAGGCATGCACGACTGGAAAGCAATGGAAGACGAAGGGGTTTACCTTCGATTCGATGAGGTATTGGTTCCTAGCAAAGATGAAGAACGTATCTGGGCAGGAAAGGTAAGGATTTTCTGACTTTTGGGTTTCTAGCGGCTGATGGCTTTTCGTTTGAACCTCTCTCGATGATCACCGTTTTGCGATTATGTTTTCTGTTTTGTGTTTTTTTTCTTTTCGATGATAGCTAATGAGTTGATCGATCTTTTGCTTGGATCATGATTGATAACTTTTGGGTCTCCCTCCCCCTCCAGCCGTTTCTTTCTGGTTATTTCTAGTAAATATTTTCTTTTTTCTGTGCCTTCTGCTGCTCTTGTTTGGTGCGTTTGCAGGTCACGGGCGAGAGCAGGTCACGGGCGCAGCTGTGGGTAGCTGAGCCATTGCTCGGTGGTCGTGCGCGGTCTGGAATGCGGGTGGGTGGCTTCACGTGAGTCTGCGTCGGCTGGGAATCACAGAGGGCTGGGAACCGTTGGATCGTGGAGCAGATCCAACGGCCTTCCTGCTGCGGCGCTAGAGGCTGGTGACAAGAAACCTAATGGTTTTTGATCTGGACCGTTGGATGAGAAGCAGATCCAAACGGTCCAGGACAAGCGGCGGCTGGATAAGCTGGAAACCCTAACGGTTTAGGGTATCCTCAAATGGGGGCTACTTTGGGCTCGAGCCTGTTGTATTTGTTTCAATTTGGGCCTGTAATAAAACGTTTATTTAGTGCATATTTTATATATTTAATTATTTAATATTTAACTATTAATTACTTATCCGTAGATATATATATATTATATATATATATATATATATATATATATATATATATATATATATATTATATAATATATATATATATATTATATATATATATAATAACTACATAATACCAAACTTATAATATAACCGAAATTGCAATAAAAAACAATAATAAAACCCGATTAAACACGAATAACACCCCGGACAAATTGAGCGTCTACAGCTGCCCCTCTTTGTTCATTGTCGTGGAACGAGAATAGAGCAAAGATCAATAGATGGTCAAATTTGTCCAGTCGTGAAAAATTCAAAAGATTAATCCGCTTCGCTACAACTTCAGGATAAGTGAGACTTGAAAAATTTTTCAACATCGGGTTCGCTCCCAATCGTTTCAGGGAACATAGAACTCGAATAATCTTCTGCTACCGGGTTCGCTCCCTATTGTTTCAGGAGTATAGAACTCAAGAATCTTCTGCTAACCGGTTCGCTCCCCTCTTTCTTCAGGGAGAATAGAACTCGAATATCTTCAACAATCGTGTCTGCTCCCTATTTCTTCAGAGAGTATAAGACCCAAACAATCTCAACAAATCTTGTCTGCTCCCTATTCCCTCAGAGAGTATAAGACTCGACAATCTTCAATGATCGCGTCTGCCCCTATTTCTTCAGAGAGTATAAGACTCGAACAATCTTCAACGATCGCGTCTGCCCCCTATTTCTTCAGGGAGTATAAGACTCGAACAATCTTCAACGATCGCCTCCCCCTATTTCTTCAGAGAGTAAAGACTCGAACAATCTTCAACGATCGTTGGGAAACCTGTAAATATTTAAGTCGAAGGAAACTCATATCTTTTGATTTCAATAGAACTCGATTTCGTTTCGGGTACAGAGCATTTGACCAGTTCACCCCAGCTAACACTTCAATACCATATCTTTTGGCTCGACCGGACTTTGACTTCTTTCTTTCTTGAAACCTGCTGGTACACATGACCAACTTCTTGATAAATGACAACATCCTTGGGTCATCCATTATGGCTAAGATTCTATGGATTCCAAGTTTTAGCTTTTCGCAACCCTACAAGCTTATGGTAAAACCATTACTAGCTTCAGAATACCTGCATTTCCAAAACCTTTTGCATAATACAAATGATCTCATGTACCACAGGTTAAGCTATACGTTTTAACTTTTTCAAAGTTAGATGCTTGTAAAAGGAAATTAAGAAGGGAAAATATCTCTTTATTTATATAAATGTGAAGAATTTTTAGGCAACTACATGACCAACTTTTAATCGGAAAGAACAAAAGGATAGGTGTCTTCAAATACCAATAACACAAATGCTTTTGAACTGGCCGTCAATGACTCGAGTGTAGCTTCTGTCAAAAGGACTCCAAAATGTGATGACACCTAAGAGTGCGAACCCTTCTGGACCCAAATCTCCATGATGCCATAAACCAATTGAATCTCACGTGCATTCAATCCTCCTCTGGTTGTCCCACCGAGACTCATTGATCTTGGTCTCAACCCCAATGGCCATTGTCGTTACCCATGTCAGGAGATCTTCCTACTCCAAAAACAATTCAGATTATCCACCATGCACGAACTCTGAATTTAAACTCAAGTCGCCCTTTGCGGGTTTTCGACTCGAGACCTCCTTTGGTTTCAAGACGCCCTTTTCGAGTTTTCATCTTGAACCCTTCTTTTTTCATTTTTTCATTTTTTTTTTTTTTTTTTATTTTTTTCATTTTCACTCATTTTTTCTTCTTTTTTTTTTCTTCAAGCAAAATACTTCTTAACTGCGTCAGAATTCACTGGATGAGGTAATCAGACCCATCCATCTCAGTTAAGACCAGAGCTCCCCCAGAAAAACTTTCTTGACACATAGGGTCCTTCCCACTTGGGCATCCATTTCCCTCGGAAATCTTTTTGAATGGGCAATATCCTCCTGAGCCAAATCTCCTTCGTGGATTTCTCGAGGGCGAACCTTCTTATCATGTGCTCGTATCATCCGCTTCTGGTATATCGACCGTGACAAATAGCCTTCAATCTCTTTTCTTCAATCAGATTCAATTGGTCATATCTGGCCTGTACCCATTCTGCCTCATTTAGCTTCACCTCTGATAAAACCCGGAGCGAGGGAATTTCCACTTCATAGGGAGGACAGCTTCCATCCCATAAACTAGAAACGGAGTTGCCCCAGTAGACGTTCGTACAGAAGTCCGATAGGCAAACAGCAAATGGCAACTTCTCATGCCAATCTTTATAAGTTTCAGTCATCTTCTCTATAAGCCTCTTAATATTCTTATTAGCCGCCTCCACTGCCCCATTCATCTTTGGGCGATAAACCGTGGAATTATGATGCTTTATTTGAATTGCTCACATACAGATTTCATCATCTTGTTGTTTAAGTTCACGCATTGTCAGAGATAATTCTCTCTGGTAAGCCTATCGGCAGATGATTTCTTTCTTCAAGAACCTACATATCGTCGACTGGTAACACTTGCATAGGAAGCTGCTTCTACCCACTTGGTGAAGTAATCTATTGCTACCAGAATGAAGCGATGACCATTTGACGCTTTTGGAAAAATTTGCCCAATAACATCCATGCCCCACATAGAAAACGGCCACGGAGCTGTCATCACATGCAACGGATGAGGAGGGGTGTGCATTCTATCCCCATAAATCTGACACTTGTGACATTTTCGGGCATAATTGATGCAATCAGTCTCCATAGTTGACCAATAATACCCAAATCTCATAATTTGTCTGGCCATTACTGCCCATTAGCATGGGTGCCACATATTCCTTCATGTACTTCTTCAGAATCATTTTCGCTTCTTTATGTCCACACCTTAATAAGACCTGATCCATGCTTTTCTTATATAAGATCTCACCATTAAGCACATACCCTGCTGCCATTCTTCTAATGGTCCTTTGTCATTCTCAGTTGCCTGTTCGGGGTACTTTGATATCTTATATACTGGAGGATGTCATAGTACCAAGGTCCTTCATCATCTTCTTCTTCAATGTCAAAGCAGTGGGCTGGATATCATAAGCCTTCATCTCAATAGGCATCATATTTGAATGCTCGTTCATCTTAAAGGCCGCTGCCAAAGTAGCCAAGGCATCCGCCATTTGATTTCTTCTCTGGGGAGGTAATTGAAAGTCACTTCCTTCAAATTCTTCAATAAGTCCCAGAACTAATTTACGATATTCCACAAGTTTGGGATCTTTGGTTTCCCATTCACCTCTGAGTTGGTAAATTACCAAAGCTGAATCCCCATATACCTTCAACATTTTTGCTTTGAGTTCATAGCTGCTCTAAGACCCATAACACAAGCCTCATATTCAGCCATATTGTTTGTACAATCAAAATTGAGCCGACTGGTAAAAGGATAATGCTCTTCCTTGGTGAGACCAAGATTGCCCCAATCCCATGCCCCAAGGCGTTTGAAGCACCATCAAAGTTCATCTTCCAGTATTTACCGGCAAGAGCAATTGTTTCTTCCTCCGAGATAGCCATTAAATCCTCATCCGGGAAATCGAAATTCAACTGTTCATATTCTTCTGAAGCCCTACTCGCATGAATTCTGCTATGGCGCTCCCTTTAACTGCTTCTGGCTTACATACTGGATATCAAATTCGGACAACAGATTTGCCAACGGGCTGAGCAATTGTTTCTTCCTCCGAGATAGCCATTAAATCCTCATCCGGGAAATCGAAATTCAACTGTTCATATTCTTCTGAAGCCCTACTCGCAATGAATTCTGCTATGGCGCTCCCTTTAACTGCTTCTGGCTTACATACTGGATATCAAATTCGGACAACAGGATTTGCCAACGGGCTAACCTTCAGACAATGCAGGTACCCCCATCAGATACTTAAAGGGTCCAGCTTAGATATGAGCCAGTAGTATGATACAACATATACTGTCTAAGTCTTTTGGTAGCCCACACTAAAGCACAACACAATTTTTCAATTGGTGAGTATCTGGCCTCACACTCAGTGAACTTCTTACTGAGATAGTAGATAGCCTCTCCCTCTTCTCAGTTGATCATGTTGCCCCAACACACATCCCATGAATTGTCATAAACGGACAAGTAAAGAATTAAAGGCTTTCCTGGGATGGGTGGCGCTAGGATCGGAGTATTCGAAAGATATCT